TGGGGAAGCTGGCAGGAAAGGTCGCAAGTCACTGGGATAAGTCTCCTCCATCTGCGCACTCTCCCCAGCCCAACTGCGCTCATGACAGCCACTCACGTGCCCTTGCACACACACCCTGACCCGCACTGCACCTCTTGTACACCCCTGTGCACCGTCCCCGACCCTCACTGTGCTTCCCTCACCCCCTTGGGCACCCTCCCTGACCCGTGCATCTCACACACCCGCTCGCACCCTCGCACACCTCCCCGACTCATGCCTCCCACATCTCCTTGCACACTCTGACCTGCACTGTGCCTCTTGCACACCTCCTCACACCCTCCCCAACCCGGCAGCAGCCACTTACCTGCCTGCAGGCCTGGGACTTGCAACTTCCTACTGGCTTCCCCACTGACTTTGGTTGTGGGAAGCTGGCAGGAAGTTACTTTATCTAACAACCATGGGATTCAATGAGGATGGTAACCAGGACTGCAGGGATTGCTGTCACTAAGTGATTTGGTTGCGCTTTACAACCACATCACTTAGCAATGGAAATTCTAGTCCGAATTGCTGTTGTAAGTTGAGGACTACCTCTATCAGAAATCACTGCTATTATTATTGTTCCTTTATTTTTTTGTTCCTTTCTCCCCATTCTCAAATTTTGTAATTTTCTTCTCTTTTAATGAATTTTTTAAAATGGGGTAAAATATTTTGAGAAATATTTATGCATCTTTCAACTAATACTTGCAGCATTTCTGCTGACTTGTAGAACAAAGGCCAGACTTTGGGTCTTGGGTGAAGGGCCATTCTCAGAAATCAGTGGTAAGAGCCGAAAACTGTTTTGTAGAATCCTTCCTGCTGTAGAAGCGAAGGGGCACTGTTTCTTTGTTTTAGCAGCATGCCTACTGACTATGGACATCTTTTCTAGTTCCCTTTAATTTCAATTATTAGGTTTGGTGTGTTTATGACATTTGGCCATGCTGCTCCATGTTTCTTTTGTGAGAAAAGTGAATAGTGGAGGCAGTTTTTTTAAAAAATACATTTTTAAAACTTAGATCAACATATTTCTTTGTGGAAAGAAGATACAAGTATTTCTGGGAGAGAATGTGAGGCTCTGTTTCTGCTTCTCTTTCCTTGTTCACAAGATAGGTAGGCAGGTAAGTTCTGGAGAATTGAAAGTTATAGCACTATAGTTTTTTGTACTGTTCTCTGACTGGAGGACCTGAAAAAACAATCAGTTACAACCAAGTTCATATACTAGTTAAAACTAGAATATCTGGGATACACTATTAGACTTTGCAAAAGCAGGATACAGTTCTGGACTAACTAGGAACACCTTGGTTTTCCATGTATGTTCCCCTGCATAGCTGTCGGTCTCTATGGAGTTGCTGAAGTTGCATCTGATGAAATGAAAGTAGGATAAGCCAAATAATTTTGGAAGCAATCATACACTTATTATCTGTGACATAAGCATCACTGATACAACAGGGCAAGGACTTTCTTTCACATGGATATAAAATAACGGAGGAACCAGATTAAACTTAATCTAGTTCTAGGCCCCCCTTTTCCCCCCACAGTAGATAATCAGTATTAGATGGATCACAAGAATATACTTCCACTTGGTGCTTTTCAGTAACTGGTATTCAAAGACATATCACCTTTCTTACTGATGTTAATATATGACATAATATAACCATTCATATCCTGGTAAATCATGATGACAGCATTGAGACTGAAAATTGACACATTTATTTATATATTTTACAGTACTTACAGCCTGCCCCAATCTCAGAGGCCTCTTGTAGCATACAACATCAGTGAAAGGAAAACCAAAATCAAAATAATGTCGAAAACAAAGAAACCAATAAAAAAACCACAAGAGAAACTCTAAATGAAATGGAAGAGAGATGCCCATAGTAAGTCAGCTGGGACCAAAAGCATACTGAAGTTTTAACCTCTTTCTGGATCTGCAGCAAGGTAGGTGCTGCACATACTTCTGGAGGGAGACTATTTCATAAGGTGAGGACTATTACGCAGAAGGCTGCCATCTCACCTATGCCTACAGACTTCACAAGGGGAGGGAATTTTCAGCAGTCTCTCTTTCTCAAGCATTTTATTCAGGGATTAAGAATCTACCAGTATATGGATTCAGCTGTAGGCTCCATCACAGTTGTCAGAAATATATCAAGTGAAAAATATATTTATCTTGGATTTATGCCAAGTTAAAAGTATTCGGGTCACATACTTGATCTTCTTACGTTGTGCCATTTGTCTGAGCACTATAATTCAGACTGACTATACGCAGAGTATTTCAGTGGAAATGAAAGAAAATAGAAGAGAATCTTTCCCTCTTCTACTTTTGTACTGGACAATATGTTTAAGCATCCTGAAAATAAATTTATTTATCTATTTATTTGAGTTGACATGCTGCTTCAGCTCTAGATGCTAAGCAATCTGCAGCGCAATAAAATAATACTGTGGAATAAGAATATCTCTCTCTCTCTCTCTCTCTCTCTCTCTCT